CACCTTCGGAACGGTTGCCCCCTGCGCAAGGCGCGTCAAGGTTCTTTGAACCATCGCCGCAATTCCTACCAGTCTGGTTCGTTGCGGGGAAACGACACCACTCAGTAGGCGCGGGGCGACCTACTGGGAGAACTGAGTTCTGTTGAGCCTCAGGAAGACATAGGTCAACTGACCCAGCCCCGAAGAGCTCCGTGCTCTTGACACGAAACGTGTGGGTAACCCGGGCTTGCTGGTCGTGAAGGCGACCGTAAAGGGCTTCGAGAAGCAATGGAAGATCTCTATCGGTTCTGGGGCGTCGGGTAATTATGCTCGACGATCCACGATGGAAGGACGTCAGCTGTATGCTGAGGCGCTGAAAGCGCGGTTGGGTGACATCGTCACTGTTCGCCTAGCGACAGGGTCTCGTATCACGGTCCCGAAGGTCCCTGTGGACCTCGGAGTCAAGTTCCGTAACTTTGATAGCGTGGAGGCTAGTCTTAGACTTGGATGCAAGGTTTGACCTCATCCTCGGAATGGCATGGTTGGAACACCATGAGCTATGAATTGATTGGAGGTCAAAGACCTTGGACGCTACGCGCACGTCTCCTGGTGGAGCTTTGGCGAGTCATGTTCCCACCTCTGCCAGAGACAAAAGCGGTATTGGCGAGACGAGACGGTCAACGTGCTAGACATTGTCTTGTTCAAGTTGGTAGACACAAACGGTGCACTGGACAGAAGTCCCGAGCGTGGCTCGCGGGCTGATCGTGGAGTGGCACATAACCCACTGAGCGCTGCTCAAGTTTTGGAGTAGTCGCTGCATGTCAGGCGTGACATGGTGGGCCAAGGGCCGAGGCATCGAGGGCGAGGCCCACGTGATGCACGTGAAGTTGCACGTTAATCACTGAGTGCTGCTCGAGTATCAAAGCAGTCGCTGCATGTGGCACGTTAATCACTGAGTGCTGCTCGAGTATCAAAGTAGTCGCTGCATGTCATGCGTGACAATGCGGCCAGGGGCCACGGCATCGAGCCCTTCAGATGCGCGTGGAGTGGCACGTTATCCACTGGACGGAGACTGCGGCGTTAGCAGCTCTTCGTCGGATGTTGTAGATAAAATCGGAGTTCCAAAGGAGCGAACTGTGAGGGTGACACCGGACGACACGAAATGCGTGTTCACCCTGGTCCACCAAGACACAGAG